GAGTTCCCGCTGGGCTTTTTCTACAAAAAAAGCCCTGACGATGACCACTAAACTTAGATGGCTCTTTTAAAAAACTGACAAAACCATGGGCGATGGTTCTATGAACAGCTATTAATCACGGCAGTGTAATGGAATTCCCATGTTCAAAAGAAATGTACTTCAGAGTATCAGACACTTGGTGATAAAGGGGTGGGGGTGCTGGTGGCCGTCTTCATGCTATACCTGTGAGTGCCCTGAAAAATCTATCTGACCAGCGATAGACACTAAGCACAGGACGAGACAGATATTGATCTCACCAGCGTTGTATAGGAAGAATAAAACAATCTGATACTTATAGGGCCATCTGAAACAGAGTTATACCCCTTAAAGTGAATGGGCTTAGAAGGTCGCAGCTCTGCTTAAGAGTCCACTATTAGGAAACCTGAACAATTAGATGATTTCCCCCTTTCTTCCATTCTGATCCAGGATAACTGAGTGAAAATTTCTGATTAGACATAATTCCTGAGTAGGCATTTGGAGCACTGTGTGCAGTCTGGGTTGCAGTATCTCAAAAGGCATCTTGCAGAGCTGAAAAAGATAATAACGCTAGGAAAAGCTGGAGGCAGCAGGAAAAGAGGAAGACCCAACAGGAGACGGACTGACTCGATAAAGGAAGCCAGGGCCTTCAGTTTGCAAGACCCAAGGAAGGCTTAGGGTTGCCAAGTCTACTTACCTTGGCGGCGGGGGAGCCTCGCCAGGCTCCGGGAGCTCTCCGGCGATGCGCTACGTTGCTCACGTTGAGGGCGTGGCCACAATCGTCGGTCCCCCCGGGGCCCGATTCCACGGCGGTGGAAATCGGGCTTCCAAAGCAGGGGGTTACCCGCCCCTCGCCCCCACTTGGCAGCCCTAGGAAGGCTGTTAACGAGAGGACATTTATTCATAGGGCCCCCATAAGTCAGAAGCGATGGCACTTAATGTACACACATCTCAAAAAAGAAAAGGTACAAAAGAGGGCAACCAAGATGATTAAGGGGTTGGGGCACCTTCCCCATGAGGAAAGACTGAAGAGTCTGGGACTTTTGGGACTAGAAAATAGACGACACGACAGAGATTTATAAAATTATGCATGGGGCAGAAAGAGTGGGTGAAGATAACTTTTTCTTCCTCTGAATAAAATCCTAGAACTTGAAACTGATGGGCGATAGATTCAGGATGGACAAAAGGAAATACTTCTTTACTCACTGAGTGATTAACTCATAGAATACACTGCCAGAGGATGTAGTGATGGCCACAAGCATGTCTTTAAAAGGAGACTACCATGGTCTCACGGCCGATAAGCGATACTATGAATTAGGTTTTATTATGATGCTACTCTTATTATGATGTTACTCTGCAATTCTAATTTTACTCTGCATGATTTTGTATTTAGATTACTGTATCTTCATGTATATGCCAATAAAAGGCTTTGGGTGGCTAAGGATCAAAAGGGGATTAGATAAATTAATGGAGGAAGTGGCTACTAGCCATTTTGACTGGACGAAAACTCCATGTTCAGAGACAGTAAACCTCCGAATACCAGGGGTTGTTTCGTAGAAAAAGAGCTAGGGGAACTCATTAGCATAACTCATTAGCATATGCCACACACCCTGACATCACCGGTAGTGTGTCATAAGGCCACACCTAGGGAACTGCGATCCCCCGCGATCCCCCCCCCCCGAATCTATCTCTGCCGAATACCAATGCTAGGAGGCGACACTGGAGGAAGCCTTTGGCCACTATGCCCTGTTGTTGGCTCTCCAGGGCAATTGGTTGGCCAGTGTGTGAGACAGGATGCTGGACTAGATAGATCACTGGTCTGATCCAGCAATGCTCATCTTAACATTATGTTCTTAATGAGTATTCCTACACAAATGACTTCCTACTTTAGCCTCAGTTTTCCCAATCAGCAAAAAGTGGATATTAGGACTTTGCCCACTGATCAGCAAATGCACCCACCCACACCCACACAACATACTGTCTTTTATGTGATAGTATTCTTCCTGTATGAAAACAAAAGCCCAGTATCCAGGCTACCCAATGTCCTGGGTAGGAAGAGAGAAACAGCAATCCTCTTTCAGGAATACAGTTCAGCATCAAAGATGTGTTGAGTTCCCAACCTCCAGGTGGCATCTGGGATCTCCCACTATTATACTTGATCTCCAGAGACAGGATGCTGGACTAGATAGACCACTGGTCTGATCCAGCAATGCTCATCTTAACGTATGTTCTTAATGAGTATTCCTACACAAATGACTTCCTACTTTAGCCTCAGTTTTCCCAATCAGCAAAAAGTGGATATTAGGACTTTGCCCACTGATCAGCAAATGCACCCACCCACACCCACACAACATACTGTCTTTTATGTGATAGTATTCTTCCTGTATGAAAACAAAAGCCCAGTATCCAGGCTACCCAATGTCCTGGGTAGGAAGAGAGAAACAGCAATCCTCTTTCAGGAATACAGTTCAGCATCAAAGATGTGTTGAGTTCCCAACCTCCAGGTGGCATCTGGGATCTCCCACTATTATACTTGATCTCCAGACAACCAAGATCAGTTCCCCTGGAGAAAATGGCTGCTCTGGAGGATGGATTCTACAGCATTATACCCTGCTGAGGTCCCTCCCCTTCCCCAAACCCCGCCCTCCCCAGGCTCCACCCACAAAATCTCTGGATATTTACCAACCTAGAGCTGGCAATCCTAAAGATGGCGCATGCACAGCCTTCAAATAACCAATTAAATTGCTGAAAGGAAAACAGGTCAAAGCAAAAGGGTCACAAGCCAACATGGCATTGCTATGTGGGTTGGACAGATTCTAGGAACCATTCCCCCCACCCACAAAAAATGCCGTATGAGCATTCCTGGTTTGACATAGAGGAGGAGAGCACGGCCTCCCAAAGTAAACGGGAGGCTTAAGATCCAATGGACACATTGAGAACTATCACATGTCACATTAGCCCTTCCTAGATTGCGCCATTAGAGCGTGTGCAGGGAAGGAGGTCTGTGCAAAAGAAACAAAGAGGTCCTGGGACAGCCATTGCCGGTTACTGCAGTTGCAAGAGTTATTGCACCCGAGGAAAACCGGGAGGCACAGGCTAACAAAGGCAAGCGATGACACTGTCAGTGGGGAAATGAGGGGGGAAGAGAGGGCAGGCAGGGGTCACAGCATCAATAAGCCAGCGACACAAAGGGAACAGTTTGTGTGCATTAAGGGCCATCAAGTCGTTTCTGTATGGCGACCCTAGGCACGAATGACCTCCAAAACAGTTTAGTGTCACTCAAAAGTGACATTGGGTAGTGACGAAGCTGTCCTCAACCAGATCGCTCAGGCTTCAAAACCTGCCCAGTTGCATCTCCTGATCCTCTTTTGCCCTACAGAACCCTTCTTCCTTGACACCTTCATCTTAAATCCACCAATCTCCTTCAGCATCATCTAAGAGTGCACAACTGAATTCACTCTCCTTGATCATCTGGTCTTTCCCCCCACCTTAAAGGGATTACATGGATCTTTTCTTTGTTTATGTTAAACTGGCAAAGCGTCGCAGGTGTTAACAGACATAATTTATTAAAATAATAATTTTTACATGCATGGACAGAACCCTTCTTCCTTGACACCTTCATCTTAAATCCACCAATCTCCTTCAGCATCATCTAAGAGTGCACAACTGAATTCACTCTCCTTTGTTTATGTTAAACTGGTAAAGCGTCGCTGGTGTTAACAGACATAATGTATTAAAATAATAATTTTTACATGCATGGTCAGTAAGTGGCAAGGGGGGAAGCACTCTCAGCATGCTCAGAGGCATCCTTTAAGTGGCAAGGGGGGGGAAGCACTCTCAGCATGCTCAGAGGCATTCTTCCCAGCTTGTAGATGGAAGGGGAGAGTCACATCTAAGAAAAGGAATCCTAGTGCAGAAAGTGGTTTCTAAGGTGAGTCCTGACTTTTTTGAGAATTATCACAAGCAGACCAAGGGTATCTCCATGATATAGCAGACAAGGCTAACATAGCAAGCCAAGCAGTAGCCATGAAATCAGCAACAAAATCTACAGTAGCAGCAGGGAATGAATATGGGAGACTCTTTAGGGCTGTTACAGCCTAATCTGGCCCCAAAGGTCAGTGCATAGCAATTTTCCTGATGGCTTCAGGAGTTGCAACAGACCGACATTTCCATTCCTGCCCTGGATTCTTTCACTGAGGGTTTTATTTGTGCTTCCATTCAGAAACGAAATTTAAAAGTAAGCCAGCCAGACCGGTGCTAAAAATAAAAAAGTCTCTTACAGCCTCCCAACCACCCTGATCCCAAACTCATATTTCTTTTAAAAAATTAAATCCATTTTTACTCCCTCCTCCCACCCCTCCAAGTGACTTTAGAACCAGGGGACAGTTTCCGTATTAATGCCCCCCTTTATTCCAAATAACACATTTAAGCATACATTTACTCCCAGCATGTACACACCAATTTCCCACAATAATTGTGAGAGCAGATTTAGGTATTTCACCTCCTTTTAGGGTTGGAACACACATCCAGCACATACCAGGGCAGTGTTAAAAGTGGGCGTTCACAAGATCAGCAGACTGATTGTTCGCCTTTCAAGCTTTCTTTTATTCTGGACAATCAAGGTGATTAAAGGGTGGTTTCCCCCTTCGATTCCACGATCTTGCTGGCTTAAGAGCAAAATGGTGATTCCAGCCGACATTAGGAAATATCGACGATGCTAACATCTATTCTGGATGCATCGATGTTGCGAACGCACCGCCAAATGGCAGGGAATATTCCTGAGTAGAAACAGAACTGACCTCAGAAGTAACCCCTTAAATTAAAATTGGTTCTCTACCAAAGGGAAGCCGACCCCAATGAGGCCTGGTATTAAATGAATTAATCCTCTGGGGATCAGAGAGAGACTTAAAACTAACCCCCGTGTTCCGGGTGGCTCTTCCCCACCAGCCACTGGGGGAAGAAAACCAAACCAAGGACCCCCTTACCCCAGATGAGAGTGAAGAGATGGCTCTTGGGGATGAGGACCAGGGAATAGACCGCGCCGACATGGAGCAGGGCCATCAGGATGACATTCCTCCACACAATCTCTTGCGGCTGCCCAACTTTCCCTTTGCTCCTGGCTGCCACGGGTCCTGGGAAGGCTTCTCCTCTTCCATTGCAGGAGGGCATTTTCCCTTCACTGCCGTTGCAGGAGGGCATTTCCCCCTCTCCATCCATCATGCTGTCGGCTCCTGGGTTTGACATGGCTGAGGGGAGGCCGGCACACGGCGAGCGATGGAAGACTGCCAAAGCCAGCCGAAGGGGCTCTCTCTTTTATGGGGGGGGGGGATGTTCAAAGGCTATTGTTGCTTTTAGCCTGGGAGGGGGGTCAGATTTCTTGTTTTCTTCTCCCCTCTCTCTCCTTTTCTCCCCCTTTCTTCTGATCTTCTTGGCTCAGGACTGCTTTTTGAACAGGGTCTACTCTATGGATGCATAGACCCAGAGTGCAGCATCTGTTGCTAGCAGTCTCATCTATGCTGCTGCTGCTGCTGGGGGCAGAGCCAAACTCCCGCACAGCAACAGAGGATGAAAAAAAGGAGGGGGGGGGAGAGAAAGAGAATGAGAGAAAAGACCTGCATAGCTACAGCCAATCAGAATCCCATGCGGTGCTCTTAAAGGGGGAGAGAGGGAGGGAAGGGAAGGGGAGAGAGAGAGAGACAGAGGGAGCGTTACAGCATCTCTGTCCACTGTTGCCACATATTGGCCAGACTGAACATTTTTGATATACCGTTTCCTTCATCCAACAAAGGGAACACAGACGGGCTGGGAGGTTTCATGGCAGCTGGGGGTTTATTTTCAGGCAAGGCCTCGAGGCCGTCTTTTGCCATGAAGCCGGGCTTCCTCAGGATGGCGTCCCTGAAAAATCTTTCCCGCATACACTGCTGTCACATCTACTTAATGCTAGCCTCACAAATTAATATCTGTTTGTCATCCACCGACGCTTACCCAAAGCGGGGGGGGAGCACGGGGGGGGGGGGGTGTCCAAAAAATGAGACATGTTTGCCAAGGACTCCAGCTTAACGTAAGAAAGGTTTAGAATTGTATTCAGGATGATGGTTTAAAGGGCAGGGACGGTCCAGGTATGGGATTGGGTGGCTGTAAGGAAGTTAAGCATCAGTTCCTGCAAGGTCCAACAAATCCCTCTTTCCTCTTTAATGTCCTTAACTGTCATTCTTATTTGGGTACTTATGTTAAGCTCTGGTTTTAACTTCTTTTAAGGGTGCATTCGTGTGTTGGTTTCAATGGCTTTTAAGATGACATTTTAATTTGCATGTTCTAATTTGTTAGCCACCTGGGTGGCTCTATGGGGACAGACAGGCCTGACAATTTACTGGTGTACTGTCCCTTTCCACTCACAACCTCCTGAAGACACAAGTAAAAGCAAATACTGAATGTTTCCCACCCTACCTCAGTTCCAGCATCCTAAAGTAGCTCCCATGTGCTTAAACAAAAGGGCTTCCCATGATGGAATTATGTAGATCCTATAACAGTCATGTAAGGCTTAACACTCACTATTACTGGGGAGTTGGGGAATGTAAACCATTTCTTTTCATATCCCACATGGGTTCAGTTGTGAATCTAAAGGATAAGGAACTTTAATATTCTGTTTGCATTTGTTGTGTCATAACAAGTCATACGGAATGCAGAATTTTGTTTCATGTTTTTTAAACTCACCGCTGTACCTTTCCTCGCAAATGTAACTTTCAGTGCTGTCCTACAGAATTCTATGCTTACTGATGTCAGTGGACTTAGGAGTGTGTACTGTAGCTATCAGGGCTTTTTTTGTAGAAAAAGCCCAGCAGGAACTCATTAGCATAATAGGCCACACCCAACAGCAGAAAATATTAGCATAATAGGCCACACCCCTGACAGAGCAGCTCATTAGCATATTAGGCCACACCCCACATTGCCAGAAGTGTGGTCATCCAGCCACACCCACCTTTTGCTTTTTATTCTGTTTACCTTGTTTGTTGTCAAAACGGTCCAGGGCTCTTTTTGTAGCAGGAACTCCTTTGCATGTTAGGCCACACAGCCCTAATTAATAGCCAATCCTAATAAGTTTCTGCTGTTGGGTGTGGCCTATTATGCTAATTAGTTCTGGCTGGGCGTGGCCAACTCAGGAGCCAGCCGGAACTCCGTTCCTGTGCGTTCCTGCCCCAAAATAGCCCTGGTAACTATGCTTTGGGTGGCCTTTATTCCTCTCCCAGCTGCTATCCACACCCACTCTTTATGGCCCTTAACATAACCCTCAAGTTGCCAGCAGTGGGTGAACCTAGGATTACAACTGCTCTCCAGGCCACAGAGATCAGTTCACCTGAAGAAAATGGCCACTTTGGAAGGTGGACTCTTTGGCATTGCACCCATTGAAGTCTCTCCCCTTCCCTAACCCTGCCTTCCTCAGGTTCCATCCCCCAAATCTTCAGGCATTTCCCAAGTGAGACCTGGCAACCCGAGATGAACCATTTCCGGATTATTCACAGGGATCTTGAACAGACAGCATCCCTTAAGAGATGCTGTAGCTGTGTTTTCCGCATCAGCAACGTTTTCCTTTGGAACTTGCTGGGTTTCTAAATAGCTCCCCTCCCCCTTATACCGAGATTGTGCTCTGTGGCACTTATTTTGGTAATGCCTAGAATGCCTGACTTTATTAGACTGCTATTTGTTGGGAATGACAAAGAAGTTTCTTATTGAACACAAGCCAGCATGACTTTAATGGGTCTTTGATCATTTTTGCATTCTAAATTTGGGGGTTCTCCTGTGGATGTTTAAAGAGGTGTGATGCATTAAGAGAAATCCCTGTTAATTGTTCATTAGCTCTGAGTGCAGATCAAGTGGAAATGTTAGTTCTGTTTTATACAATGGTTACTATCATTATTCTGTTGAGCACTGATGCCTTGGTTATTGAAATGTGTCTGGTCTTCTGTTTGAAGCTTTTGCTCCCCTGGAGCAATTGTTTTATACGTGTTTTCAGTATTTTGGGTTACTCTTAATTAAGAATGAATCAATTCTAGTTCTATATATACATGGAATTATGTTTATTTCACCTAGGTATATCGTTTTGTGTGTTTGCTGGCTCTTTTCACATTTTTTTGGTATTAGACAATTCTACGATTTTTCTTCCGCTTGTTTTGTTTCTCTGTTAGGCACAGGTTTCAGTTCCCCTATTTTTAAAACTTTTTTTTCCGAAATAGGAATCCATCTGTGTTTGGAAGAAACTCATTACTCCTCAGGGATTCTAGTTTCCGTTCATTCATCCCAGCACCTCCACCTACAATAAGGAATGGGACAACTGTTTTCCCACCTGAGCTGCTATTGACATAGACCAGACCACAGGTAGGGAGAAAAAAGGTGGCTCAAGAAAGCCCCATACCCAACACCAGCATACATAAACAGGTAGGGTTCCCAACCTCCAGGTGGTCGCTGGAGATCTCCTGGGATTACAACTGACCTCCATGCAACAGAGATCAGTTTATCTGGAGAAAACAGACAGATTGGCAGGTGGACTCTATGGCATTATACCCTGCTGTGGTCCCGCCTCTCCCCAAACCCCACCCCCCTCGGGTTCCAACCCTACAAACAGGCAAGAGGCCTTTGGGTGTCTCAAAGCAGACAGCCTCGTTTCTGCTATAGGTAGGATGCCAGCATCCACGGGGGGTCTCCAGATTACAGAGATCAGTTCTTCCAAAGAAAATGGCAGCTTCAGAGGGCAGGCTCTCAAGTATGCCATAGATGTGAGACGAAGCCTCTCCCCAGATTCTCTCCTCCACAGGCACCACCCCCATATCTTCAGGAATTTCCCAGGCAGCAGTTGACAATCCTAGATAGGAAACAGCATGTGTCGTGTTAGAACAGCAAGACCTCTGGCCAAGCCATGTGTTAAGGCAGAATGCCAGAGTTCCTAAGACATCACAAGGAAGGGTCACTCGAAGGTTGCTTGTAAAGTTGTGGTCCAGAGCAGTGTTCCCTCTAAGCTGAGTTAGTGTGAGCCAGCTCAGTTTTTTAGCCTCCGGCTCACACATTTTTGTCTTAGCTCAGGAAGGACGGCTCCGGAGCAGACTAATCTATGCAGTAGCCAAATTGCTCACTCACAACTTTAATGCCAGTAGCTCACAAAGTAGAATATTTGCTCACAAGACTCCAGAGCTTAGAGGGAACGTTGGTCCAGAGGTATCTTACTGAAACAAAGAGCTGTCATTTTGCTAACCTCTGCAAAACTGTGATGCTCTAAGAGTCATGTAGTGTAACTGAAAAGTGGAAGTATCCGTGCCGGAAAAGTGTGACGTAACTGTTCCCAGGAGCCTTTGCATGGGCTGCCAATCTCCAGGTGGTTATACAAACAAATAAACAGAATAATCTGTTGCGCTGTACAAATCACACTAGAAACTACTGTCTTCTTATACAATTCTACTTACAACCAGAATTAATACACATAACCAGGGGTCATTTCAGAGAAAAAGAGGTGCAGGAGTTCATTAGCATAACTCATTCGCATAATTTATTTTCATATGCCACACCCCCTGACATCACCGGAAGTGTGTCAGAAGGCAACACCCACTGCTCAGGCTCCACTGGACTGTTTTGGATTGCTAGCTATTGGGGGGAGGAAACGTGCAGATCTGTCCTCGCAGAGGAGGGAGAGCTTGTACCTGAATAAAACGTAGTCTTAAAGGTGCCACTGGACTGTTTTGGGACGGGTGACGGGTGGGAGGGGGGCTCTGCGACTTATCTGGCTGCTTCTTACTCTGACAGAGGGCTGCTGGGAGCAGGGGGTGGGGCTTGTTGCATGTGCCTGCCCTCTGGGCTCTTTACTGCCGGAGCTCCGCTCCTGTGCGTTCCTGCAGGAAATGACTCCTGCACATAACAAATACTTTGCCACCATGCATAAAAACTGCACCAGTTGAAGAGTGACCTAATAGTCTCTCTTCAGATTGATGTGGTCACCAGCTCATGGTGCAGAGAAGAGTTTCCAGAAGAAAGCATGCAATAGACAACATGAGCTCAGGGCTAGCTATAGTGCGAACCCAAAGAGCAGTGACGGCACACCTAGGTTGCTTTGCCATTCCTTAGAGCTTCATCAGGCCGCTTTTCTTCAGTGATGGAGCTCAACCGAGCTCTGGCAAGATTCAAAATGACACGAAGTCTACAAGTATGTTCCAAGTAGCTAGGAGTGTGCTGTCGCCGCTCCTTTGGTTTGCACTACAGCTAGTCCTGAGCTCATGCTATGTATTTGTATAACTGCATTCACTGTATTTCAATTTTTGTGTGTTTGTTAATCTCCAGGTAGTGGCGGGAGATCTGGAATTACAACTGATCTCCTGGCTACAGAGATCGGTTCACCTGGAGAAAATGGCCTGTTTAGTAGGTAGACTGTATGACATTATACCCCTTTGAGAATTCCCTCGCCTCCCCAAGCCCCACACTCTTCAGGCTTCATTCCCCAAATCTCCAGGAATTTCCTGATCTGGAGCTGGAAACCCTAGCCTTTGCTGATGCTCTTTGAATGACTGTATTTGGCTCCTGACAGATTCCAAGTAGAAATACTTCTATTGTGGGCTTTATTCTGCAACACTAGGGAGTCAAGCTCATGAAACACATTGAGACTCACTGGTTTAATGTGCATATCCATGGGTCATTTCCTGCAGGAGCGCACAGGAGCGGAGCTCCAGCAGTAAAGAGCCCAGGGGGCGGGCACATGCAACAAGCCCCACCCCCTGCTCCCAGCAGCCCTCAGTCAGAGCAAGAAGCAGCCAGGTAAGTTGCAGAGCCGGCCCCGCAGCCCAAAACAGTCCAGTGGCACCTTTAAGAACAAGTTTTATTCAGGTACAAGCTCTCCCTCCTCTGCGAGGACACATCTGCACGTCCCCCCTCCCCAATAGCTAGCAATCCAAAACAGTCCAGTGGAGCCTGAGCAGTGGGTGTTGCCTTCTGACACACTACTGGTGATGTCAGGGGGTGTGGCATATGCAAATAAGTTATGTTAATGAGCGACGCTAATGAGCTCCTGCACCTCTTTTTCTACGAAATGACCCCTGTGCATATCGAGTACACATATTACGACTGATGTGAAATGATCACTAGGCTTGGAGAAGCTTTCTTGCAGGCATCAGTAACGTCTGATTCCAGTTGTTAAAAGCAGAGCTCCATTCTTTATCTGCCAGATAGTATGTAAAAGCAGGGACGAAAAACTGTTTTCTTATAGCGGTGCTGTGCACTGCCTTTCTCTAGCTGAGGGAGCATCAGAAGGGAAAGGGGAGCAGAAAAGAAACGTAACAGCTGCAGTGTTTAAAGAAGCTGCTTTTGAAGCACAAAATAACCCACCTTGAAAACTACTGCTGCGAAGATCTGAAAAGTACAGTGCAGCGCATTCCTTCACCTTAAGAGGCATTAAACAATTAAAAACTGACCTCTTCTATTCCCTCCACTATATGAAGAAAACCTTTCCTGGCAGGCAGGGAAAAGCGGGGGTGGGGGAGGGTAGAGAAACCAGGCTGAGCTGAAACAAATCTCAGAGCAATAGAGGGCAGTTCAGCTACAGTGTGCAGCAGCTTGTCTCTAGACAAAGATGATCTGCTGGAAGTATATTACTGCTCTTGGTTTATTACGGTGTGTCCTTGAGGCTATCTTTAGTTCTATTTGCATGGAATTCTTGGTGGCGACATTAGTCCTAATTGTGTCTAGTTCTGTCGTATCAAAATATGTAAATTGCTCTATTACTGTTTTATTAAACTAGAAAATCAATCCAGAATGCAACCGGCAGGTTTAGAATCTGAAAGAGTGGCTCAGTTCAGACAAATGCAAAGCCATGGTTTCTTTAACTGCGGTTAGGGTGTTCAGCTCATAATCACTCAAATCCTGGTTTGCCTGGAGAAGCGTGAGACTCATTGTTTTCTCTTGGTTGCCTGAGGGGATATCGCCAGAGAACAAGCACAGATTAGACCAGGATGTCTGCATTCAGATATGGCACAAAACCATTGTTAAGCCTAACTGTAGTGGTTTGATGGATCTATATACCTGTTTCTCACTTGTGGCTCTTTGCTACGGATACCTAAATCTGTGGATTGGGGCCATCCTAACAGAAAGGAGAGTTCTCTCCAAAACTGGGGGATCCCTTAGGTTGGCAGAAAAATCTTAAAACTTTAAGAAATGCACAGGAGGGTTAAATTCCCCCCCAAACAAAAACATTATATGTAAATATGCAGAGTACCTACTGTCGGCAGGGTTCCCAGGGATCCTGCCCACAGCTACTGTGATTCCCAAGGTGGGAGTAAGAAAGGGAGGTATTGTCTGGGGGAGGGGGGAGAGAAAAAAGGAGGGGGAGAGGAAAAGAGGGGCAGGTTGAGAAGGGGTGGGGAGAAAGAGGTGGACATTGACAAGGGCTGGGGAGTTAGAGAAATGGGAGATTGACATACAAGGGGTGAGGGGAGAAAGGTGTGTGTGAGAGGATTGCCAGAGAAGGGGGTGGGAGAAGACTGACATAGAAGAGGTGAAGGGAAAAGGGGGGGGGATATGAGGGAAGGAAGCAAAGGTGAGGGAATGACCCCTCCCTGCAAGTTTCTTGTGGGTCCCCACTTAATTAATCCCAGTTAGCAGAGTGGCCTGCATTCAATCACACTAAACCTGGTTAAGTTAAATCATGGTTTTGTAAGAGGTCCAAACCAAGCCATTTTGTCAGAAGTAGGGATTGCAGAAGGCAAAAACAAATACATGGCTCAAGATGGTCAGGTGGAACTACACGACACTGTTTTTGTAGGGAATGTGCGAAAATGAAGGTGGAATGCCATCTGTTAAGGCCAAAAATCAGCCCTCTGAGCAGGGCACAACAGAGTCTAAAGGAATGCAGAAGGTCAAGGAGAGTCTAGAAAACAGGCATTTTGCTTCTCTTGTCCTGTTTTCCTTCACTCCAACCCAAGAACACCTTTGGACATGCATCTAAATTGTTTACCTGTTAGAGCAGTTTGTGCATCGTTGGTGCAAGCACTCATCCATTCTGGAAGATCTAATCCCTGCTTTCTTTAGGGCTATAATATTCGGGGTATAATTTGATACAGTTGAAACGATCGTCCAGAGGTCGATTTTGTGTACTCAAGACGAGATAAGAATTGAGGCCATCTAGCTCCCCATTGCTATTTTACTAAATGATGCCGCTCAGTTTTTGCTTGATTCACTGGCCTCATTTTATCTACTGTGTCACATTACGGAGCTGTTATTGGGGGGGGGGGGATGACAGCGCTTCCGTTGTTCTGTATTGTGCTGCGGGATTTGTTAATATGGAGTTCATGAACGTCAGGATGACCCAGATTCACAGACCAATGAAAATAGTTCACTGGAGCTAGAGGACAGCGATATCCATGGCTGGCAGAGAGTGACAGAGATGGTCACATCCCCGTGAAACTTCACAACACTGGCAAGTTATTCGCAGATCAAGAACACGGTCAAATACATACTGATCCTTCAAGGAGAACAAAAATATCCCTTTTGTCCTTAAAACAATTCTAATTTTCTGAATCCCACTTAGAAATATTGAATTCTCATAATACAATAACATTAGCTCCATCTTCAGAAAAGGGCATATCCAGAATTAAGAAACGTGTCGACGAGGATTTCAACAGAGCTCTCTCCGCTTTGGATGTCTGTGGCACTTACCTGTTAGAAGGAAAAGCGCAGCAACTCCATGTTGAAGAGCAAACGGCATGCCCGGAGCAGAGAGGAGAGAGCCAGCGTTTCTGCAAATCTTGCAGAGCAGTGGATCGTTCAGAAGTTGAAAGTTCCAGACTCTGCTCTATTGATTTGCTGAGGAGCAAAGGGGTTTTCAGAGTGAGCACATCTGTGGCTAAGAGACTGAACTGAGAACCAGAAAGTTCCCAGCTCAAATCTAACTCCCAGCATGAAATCTCTAGATGGGCTTAAATGTGAGGTACTATACCTTTAAGCTTTACCCACTCTTGGTTTTTTATTTCCCTTCTCTCGACTCAAAAGAGATGAGCTTACCTAACCCTCGCTGCTTCGTTGCTGTGCATTCTTGAGAAATATAATGTCTGCACCAATGAGGCCACATTTTACTTTGTTTGCTCCATTTATACCCCACCTCCCCCCCCCCAAATAGCTTACATTGCTTTCTTTTCCTCCATTTTAAATGGCTTTTAAAATGTGATTTTATTCTGTTGTAATTTGTTAGCTGACTTGGTGGCATTTGTGAGGGCAGAAAGGCGAGATATAAATTCTGTAAATAAAAATAAATTCTGTGTGTCTGTGACTGGCTCAAGGTCAGCCAGCAATCCTCCATGGCACAGCAGGATTCAAACCTGGGTCTCCCAAGTCTAATCTTCTAACCACTACACCACACTGGCTCTTAATATAATATTAAACAAGCCGCTGTTTTTCATCCTCGGCACCTGTGACATAGGAATAATCAATACAGGCCTGCATCACAGCTTTGCTGTAAGGATCATTGAAATAAATGCATACAAAGCATTGGAACACTCTAAAATGCTACATAAACGAGAGGCAAGCTTGTATTATGATAAAAATTATTCTTGTTGTTGTTGTTGTTCAGTCGCTTCTGACTCAGTCGAGTCCGACTCTTCGTGACCCGATGGACCAGATCACGCCAGGCTCTCTCGTCTTCCGCCATCCTCTGAAGTTTGCTCAATTTCTTGTTCGTTGCATCTGTGACACTGTCTAACCATCTCATCCTTCGCCATCCCCGTCTTCTTTGACCTTCAATCTTTCCCAGCATCAGGGTCTTCTCCAGTAAGTGCCCCCTTCTCATTATTCTAGGGGTTTTTGGGGTTTTTTTTGGGGTATTTTCACATTTTTTGTGTGTGCGTGTGCCCGTGCCTGGGAATTATGGCAACCTCTGGCGACTCCTACTGGGGCACGATGTTCCAAGAAGTGGCTTGATAGCCTGCCTTTGGCCTCCCGGCTCTGGTATTCTCTGGAGGTCTCCCATCCAAATACTTGCCAGGGTTGGCCCTGCTTAGCTTCTGAGATCTGATGAGATCAGGTTGGTCTTGGCTATCCAGGTCAGGGCAAAATTATTATAGTTTTAATAAGAGCTGGTGACAGTATGTGTATGGAAGGTACCACTGAGCCTCTGATTTCTGGCAACCCCGTAGGGTTTTCAAGGCAAGAGACGAATAGAGGGGGTTTGCCATCGCCTGCCTCTGCATAGCATCCCTGGACTTCCTTGGTGGTGTCCCATCCAAGTATTAACCTGGGCCAACCCTGTTTAGCTTTTGAGACCAGGCAAGATCGGGCTAGCCTGGGCCATCCAGTTCCGTGCATGCCAGTCCACAGCTGGGTAAAATCCCAGGTTCAAACCCTTACTCTGCCACGAAGCTGACTGGGTTACCTTGGGATCACTGATCTCCCAACCAGGGCGTTTCAAGGACGAAGTGGGGGGAAAGGCGGCGTATGCACAACACCCTCAACTCCCCAGAGGAAGGCTGGGATAAAAGAAATAATCCACGATTCCATTTTTTTTGTTCGACTACAGCACAAACGTAAGTAGAGTTACCGCAGTCTAGCTCATCAAAATAAATGGCTGGAGTAATGATGCCTACAACTGCCCTTCTTAAATCTATCAACCCCTACAGTCCTGAGTAGCTTGTTCTTGTTGTGTGACCCAAGCAATGGAGAAAAAGGAATCGGGACGTCAACATTGGGAGCGGGGGAGAACTCTAGCCTCCCTTCCTGTACACCTTACGGAATTCTGTATGCGCAGATTTGGTTCTGGAAATTGCAGAGAAACTTCTCAAGATGTGGAATAGAAGTCACGACTCAGCTTCCCCTTTGGAACGCGGCATGTAGCGGACTGCTTATTATCCCCTTAATGCACAGCAGACGGCAAGCCCATAAAGAGCGATTTTATGAAGTATGCCAAGGAAAAGTGCATTCCATGAATGAGCTAATTATGAGCCGGGGCTCCTGCTGCAACGGCATGAGCAGAGAGCATATAATTAAAGCCAAAGTCTTAATATAGGCTTCACAAAAGGCCTTCCAAAATAGCCACAGAAAGCAGAGAAGGAAAATGCTTGCCTCAACAGAGGGTAGAAAAGGTATAATACAGTGGGTGTAAAAAGGCCGTGAAGGGAACAAGCCGCGATCCAGAAGGATGCTGGTTCAAATCTTTCCTCGGTCAAGACCTTATTAGGACCCTTTGGGCAATTGTTTCTCAGTTATCCCCCCCCCCCCAATCTGTAATCTTGCAATCTAGATCTGTAATCTAGCAGTTTTCATACTCGTCTGTCTTACTGAGTTGTTGCCAAGGATTACAAGATCATCGCGTATGTCAGGGTCCCCAAACTTTTTGAGTCTGCAGGCACCTTTGGAATTCCGGCACAGTGTAGTGGGCACAGCCACAAAAGAGCTGCCACAAAAGAGGTGCCGCAGAAGGCAGAGCCGGCCACAGAATGGCTGCCAGTTTACCTTCAGTCACACAGGGAGGATCCAGAGCCAGCACAAGATTTGGTCACCCGAGTTTTAGCTCAAGGAAATGAGGTTCTATTGCATTAGATCCAGCCAGGTTCTTTACTCAATCACACCCAATTCCCCTCCCCATGGCTTTTGTCTGTGAAGAAATTGAGAAGAGCCCCGCTGGATCAGACTAGTGGTCCATTTAGTCCAGAATCCTGTCTCACACAGTGGCCAAACGGTTCCCCTGGAGGGTCGAGAAAGAGGGCAAAGAGGCTGAGGCCTTCCCCTAATGTTGCCTCCTGGCACTGGGGTTCAAGGATTTGCTGCCTCTGAATGTGGGAAGCCCCATAAGCCCCAGCATAGCCCTGTGCCCCATTTTCAACGGTGGAAAGCCTGCTCAGATCCAGCCCATTATTCCATTACTGAAGCTTAACTTAGAAGACATGGTTTACTATGGAGAGATCAATTCACCTATTCTTGTAGAGGGAAAAATATCCAAAAAACCCCAAACAGATTTATACAGACAGGAGGTATATTTGGGGAGGGACAACACAAAAGCTGGTCTGTCGCTGCTAGCTTTGAAGACACAAAGAATCCTTGAGATAACAGAAAGGACTTGTTCAGGCTTCTTCCTTAAGGCCGTGCCTCTTGTGTGTTGCTAACTGGCCTCTCAGCTGATAGTTTCCTTCAGGTTCTTGTATATAATATACCACCCTAAAATTGACTCATATTCCAAACTAGGGGGAGACACCATTCATTTGTGCTGTCGAGCACCCACATCTAATCAAGATTTATTCAAATCTCTGGATCCTTGCCCACCTCTCTCCGTGTCTGCGCCCAGTGCCATTCGTACGGAAGTCACCTTGGGGACCTGAGAGATGGGCAGGCTGAGAACTCCAGACCACAAAAACAATACGACTTTTCAGAAGCCACCTCAGTTGTATGCACCCAATCTGTAAAATGGGAACAACGCTAACCAACCTTGCTGCTAAGTATCACTGAAGCCCTCTGTTCCTAGAAGAGATACATACAAAGTAAAAGGCTGAATCGTTTCGTCACTAGGAATTTGTTATGAGAGTAACTGGGTTATGAACTAGAAGTAAGAGTCTTTGGGGGACTAGATTCTGGGTTATGTGTAGAGCCATTATGCATTTGGTTACAGTAAAAAGACGTTTATCAAAAGTCAACTGGAACAAAAGTATATATTCGTCATCTATGACTTGTATTTGGTGACAGTCCCAAGACTGTAGCTTCAAAGCTAGAGAAGAAGGCTTGAAACTGAATCCATGAAGCTGCCTTCTACTGAATTAGACCATCAGTCCATCAGAGTCAGTACTGTCCACTACGATTCGCAGGGACTCGACAGAATCTACTCTTGCGCATCACCTACTGCTTGATCCTTTTAGCTGGAGGTGCCAGGAATTGAACCCGGGACTTTCTGCATGCCAAGGAGCTGCTCTATCACTGAGCCGTGGCCTCTCTCAGGAAGTTTGCATCTTACATCAAAAGCCAGTATATTCACGTCAGCACAAACTATGCAAATATCTTCATGGCAGTCTTGACTCTAAAAACAACAATCCCTGAGGCTCACTCTATGGTTTGTGTATCCTGGGAAGTTGCATGAAATCAATAATGAGAAGTTCAATCATGGCGGCCACCAACTCAAAAAGATAACTAACCTTGTCCTCCACTACTAGTCTTCGCTGCAGTCTTTGGTGCTGCAGACACAAGGGAGCTTCTGGTGTAGTCCAGGCCAACTGCAAGCTGGGACCTGAGCAGACGTCACAAACGAGTCCCTGAATCCTCTGAAATGTTCAGGGACTCCCCAATGGACAAGCCAAGATGTAAAACGTGTGCGTATGTTTGAGCATGTATGAACACTGGTTTTCAGACAAGCATGGAATTCAAAAGCATAATTAGTTCACTGCTGTGAATTAAGATCCAGGTGGTCAGCCACATTGGTCTGAAGCAGCAGAAGAAATCTAGAGTCCGGGGGCACCTTTAAGACCAACTTACATCAAAAGCCAGTATATTCACGTCAGTACAAACTATGCAAATATCTTCATGGCAGCCTTGACTCTAAAAACAACAATTCCTGAGGCTCACTCTATGGTTTGTGGATCCTGGGAAGTTGCATGAAATCAATAATGAGAAGTTCAATCATGGCGGCCACCAACTCAAAAAGATAACTAACCTTGTCCTCTACTACTAGTCTTCGCTGCAGTCTTTGGTGCTGCAGACACAAGGGAGCCTCTGGTGTAGTCCAGGCCAACTGCAAGCTGGGACCTGAGCAGACGTCACAAACGAGTCCCTGAATCCTCTGAAATGTTCAGGGACTCCCCAATGGACAAGCCAAGATGTAAAACGTGTGCGTATGTTTGAGCATGTATGAACACTGGTTTTCAGACAAGCATGGAATTCAAAAGCATAATTAGTTCACTGCTGTGAATTAAGATCCAGGTGGTCAGCCACATTGGTCTGAAGCAGCAGAAGAAATCTAGAGTCCGGGGGCACCTTTAAGACCAACAAAGGTTTATTCAAGGTATGAGCTTTCGTGTGCAAGGCACACTTTCTCAGATACAGAGGAATGGTAGGTAAGGTTCTGTCCAGTGTTCCCTCTAAGCTGAGTTAGAGTGAGCTAGCTCACAGTTTTTTAGCCTCCGGCTCACACATTTTTTTGTTGTAGCTCAGGGAGGATGGCTCCGGAACAAACTAAATTATGCAGCAGCCAAGTCGCTCGCTCGCAACTTTAATGTCAGTAGCTCACAAAGTAGAATTTTTGCTCACAAGACTCCACAGCTTAGAGTGAGCATTGGTTCTGTCTAGAAGTTTGAACCTTACCTACCGTTCCATTCCAATGTGTTTGGAAAAGTGTGCCTTGCACATGAAAGCTCATATCTTGAATAAACTCTTGGTGGTCATAAAGGTGTCACCGGACTCTTAATTTGTTCTACCGCTGTGACTTAAGTCACTGACTTCGTTGCCATGTTATGTCTTATCGAGAGCAACTTTAACATGGTTCTAACTGCAGTATTCTAATGCTCACCTGAAACAAAAGGAAACTGGGGCTCATTGGTTTATATTTTCCAAGCTTAAGGGATACACACACACACACACACACACACACACACACACACACACACGTGTTCATCCATCTCCATAAAGCCGAACTGAAACAGAGCTTACCTAATGTCTAACTGCGATCAACCCAGTCTTAAAAAACAGAAGGTACAATTCAGCATACGCACATAAAATAAAATCAGGAACTTTTAATTTGGTTGATGCAGAGGAATGCGCAGAGAGTTCTCTCTCGAGGTCGCCCTTAACACACAAATGGCCCTCTGATTTCATAAGAGCCACTTTCCAAGCAGCCATGGGGACATGCATTTAAAACGGGCGACGTGGGGCGGGTGGCGTAATTATACTATCTGTAGGACAAGAATCATAAAAGGTGAAGAGATAAAAGAAAAGCACCAGGGCTTGTGGGCCCTTCTAAAAGTGAAAAGAGCTCATCTGTAGGGATCCTGTAGCGACCGGCCTTCCGTTGCCTCGGATTCTGTGAAGCGGAGAGGAGTTCTGCCCATCTGCGAAGCCACGTGCTTCCTCCTCTGCAGGGAAGGCCTCCTTCACACGCCCAGTTTGTTGGCCTGGGTGAGGACGACTTTCAGCACTGGCATGAAGGCTGAGGTCTCACTGAAGTTGCTGGTGCTGACTATGTGGGTGTGGATGTTCAGACCCTCCGTGTAGTTCCGGGTTTCGATGCTCCTGGCGATGTTGTGTAGGCCGTTGATGATCATCGGGGAGAGCTGGAAGACAGACTGAAGGAATATTATGGGGGAGAGGAGGAGGAGGACATCCCACTGATAAAATCAGAGTGGGAAGGGGGCCATACGGGTCATCTGGTCCAACCCCCTGCTCAGTGCAAGATCAGCCTTAAGCGTCCCTGACAAGGGTTTGTCCAGCCACTGCTTGAAGACTGCCAGGGAGGGGGGGGAGCTCACCTCCCTCCCTAGGCAGCTGATTCCACTGCTGAACTACTATTATTGTAAAAAAAAATAATAATAATTCCCTAATATCCAGCCTGAATCTTTCCACCTGTGATTTAAACCCATTCTTGCGAGTCCTCTCCTCTGCTGCCGACAGGAACAGCTCCCTGCCCTCCTCCTCTGACAGCCCTTCAAATACTTCAAGAGAGCAATCGTGCCCCCCCCCCCGACTCTTCTTCAAACTGAAAGATTCTCAAGTTCCTCAGCCTTTCCTCATAGGACTTGGTCTTCAGGCCCCTGATCATCCTTGTCGCTCTCTTCCGCACCTGCTCCTCTCTGTCTACCTCTTTTTTGAAATGTGGCCTTCAGGACTGCACACAGTACTCCAGGTGCGGCCTGAGCAATGTGGCGTACTGCGGGACTATTCCCTTCTATGAGTTCCCAAACGGAGCCCCCGTCTTTTCATTTGGAGCACTTCGGGGCCTCGCCGAGTTCTCCATCACCACTGTCTAATCCTTTTAACTGGAAATGTGTCAGCTATAGCTGCCAAGAGTGTGGTGTATGTTTCTAATTGCTTTGCATTCCTTCCCATGCGCTTAATTGCATCTGAGCTGTAACGCGTATCTTTCAAGGCTACTGGAGGAGTTGGCGTGTCTAGGTTTCGTGGGAAGCTTCTTACTTTCCCAGCTCCGCAGCCGTTAGAGAATCTGCCAAATGCCCACGCGCGGGAGCCCATCTAATTGGGTAGCGCTTGGGGGGGTGGGGCGTATACGAATGCCCTATATCCTATTATGCGCATAGGTAACCCGCCATTCCTAACAGTGTTCCTGTTACTGCATCTATGGCTTTTCAATAAAAGTAAAACCTTCCTAGAAGCGTGTACTTCATTGTCTTGCTGTGGATCCTGACAAAATGCCGAGGAGTGAACCTGGGGCCTTTTGCAGGCCCAGCAGATGCTCTACCACTAAGCCATGGCCTCACTCCATGGTAGCACAGAGGCCAGTAAGTGGCTTCTGTAGAATATATCTGCCAGTGGCAAACATGGCAGGCTGAGATGGGGAAGAGACAGCAGCTCCTTCTCCTTTTTTTGCCCCGCTCCAAAAAGAATGCAGCACAGCTCGCAGGGCTAGTGTGGCATAGTGGTTAGAGTGTCAGGCCAGGATCTGGGAGAACCAGGTTTGAACCCCCCACTCGGACTATGGAAGCTCACTGGGTGACCTTGAGTCAGTCAAACACTTTCAGCATAACCTACCTCACAGGGTTGTTGTGACAATAAAAAGGAAGACAGGAGAAGGATGGAAGCCACTTTGGGTGCCCATTGGGGAGAAAGGCAAGGTATCAACGAGGTAAAGTCAATAAATGAGCTTGCCATTTCCCAAAGTTTCCCGTCTTTCAAAATGCTGGTAGATTCTTCAGATTCTAAAACAGCACAGGGCTGCCTCCACCCGCTGAGGTGAACGAAGGGATGAACCAAATTTCTGAATAAAGCTCTGAAAAACTCATCTCACGAAGGAACAAATTAAGAAGGAGGAGAGCCGATTCTTATACTCCACTTTTCCCTACCTTAAGGACTCTCAGAGCAGCTTCCAATCACATTTCCCTTCCTCTCCCCACAACAAGCACCTTGTGAGGTAGGTGGGGCGGAGAGAGTTTTGAGAGCACCGTGACTGGCCCAAGGTCCCCCAGCAGGCCTCATGTGGAGGAGGAGTGGGGAATCAAACCCGGTTCTCCAGATGAGAGTCTGCTGCTCTTGAACGCTACACACCCTCAGTCTTATGGTTTAGAGCATTGCCCCAGAAGCCCTAAGAGCCCAACCCAGTATGAATCTCAGGCTCTTCACTTCCAGTTCAGTGGGTTGTCCCACTCTTGCAAAGTGGATGGCCAGATCCCACCACAGGAGTGCATTTTAGGTACTCTTTCAATCATCACAGGAAAACACCCTCAGAAGAGTGATCGTTTTCTAGCAACTGTGGCATCCTGGTTAAGAGCTGGAATCGGGGGAAGAGAGAAATAAAGCTAAAGTGAACGAAAATGCTCAAGGAATAATCTGAAAATAGATAAGGCAAAGTTCTACTGCTGGCAATGTTCCCTCTAAGCTGAGTTAGTGTGAGCTAGCTCACAGTTTTTTGGCCTCCAGCTCAGAGATTTTTGTCTTAGCTCAGAAAGGATGGCTCCAGAGCAGGCTAATTTATGCAGTAGCCAAATCACTCACTCACAATTTTAATGCCAGTAGCTCACAAAGGAGAATTTCTGCTCACAAGACTCCACGGCTTAGAGGGAACATTGACTGCTGGAGTTACGTATGTGGCTTGGCTTGGAGTAGTCCCTGGATGGGAGACCCCCTCATGTTTTAGTTTAAGTTAACTGATATTATTAATAGTCTGCCTTTCTTGCCGAGACTCAAGGTGGATTACACAGTGTAAGTCAATAAGGTCAACAGGATGGGACATCCAACACACAGTGCAATAGGGTTTGCATAAGGAAGCTAGACTGAACTCTTCAGAAGAAGAACTAAGTACAAATGCTGCACAATATCAAAGCTTACCGTCTGTTCTCGAAGTTTGTCATACAGAAACTCCAGGCGTTTGTTGGCATCGTCTAGTTTTCGCTTGGTTTGCTGGAAGGCCAGAAAGGAACACAGGAAATTGTTAAAAGTGAATGGTGGATTTTACTGATGCAAGACTAGAGCCTTATTTGTATAAGCAGCAAGTCACACAAGCACAACCCAATATGTAGAAATGCGTAAGGGCTGTGGAGAACTAGCTTTGGGATAAACGGGAAGGTGTCCTTCATTCCCACCTGAATCAGACTTTGGGAGAAGTTCACTTCTTGGTGGGGTGCATGAAGAAGAGTAGTTTTTATACCCTGCTTTTCTCTACCTTAAGGAGTCTCAAAGCAGCTTACAATCGCATTTCCCTTCTTCTTCTCACAACAGGCACCTTTAGAGGTAGGTGGAGCTGAAAGAGTTCTGAGAGAACTGTGACTGACCCAAGGTCACCCAGCTGGCTTCATGTGGATGAGTCGGGAATCAAACCTGGTTCTCAAGATTAGAGTCCACAACTCTTAAACAATACACCATGCTGGCCTAGGTTTAAGTTCATTCAGGTTATTGAGGCAAGTGCCGTTCCCATAGGATACAGTATATGAACTCAGGTGCCCCTCCTCGTGGTTCTTCTGGGGGGCTTGAATTAAGTCAAAAGCCTCCCAATCTAAATGTTCAAGAGGACTTTGCAGACGTGAAAGAGTATCAGCAGTAGACATGTGACAGGGAATGTTACAATGTGAAGGAGCAGACTGTGTCTTCTAGCCTAGCTGGGTCCTTAGATTCCATAGCTCATTAAGAAGCACTTGCTTTGTACTTAGATGAGTCCCAGGTTCAGTCTCTGGCATTTTCAGTTAAATCTAGGCCTAGTTGGTGCTCTGGCTACATAATGATGAAGGCCACCAGTGTGAGCACGTGGGATCATCCCATCTAAAAATGTTTCTCAAATACAGGAAGTGGACACGCCACACCAAACAGGGCTCTTTTTGTAGAAAAAGCCCAGCAGGAACTCATTAGCATAATAGGCCACACCC